CCCAGTGGTTTCATTTAAATTCTTGATAACAACAAAATTCTGCTTTAGGTTTGTTTTTGATGATGAAGAGGAAGAGGAAGAAACAACTTCTGCGAAAGGAAGGTCTCACTCGCCCACAAAACCTGCAGTGACATCAACTCACAGTCGTGAATTGGGCATATCCATGGAACCGAAGCGTAGAGGTCGAAGAAAGAAAAGCGAAAAACAGGATATGCCTGCAGTTCCAGCGTAAGTGTTGTGTAGAAGTTTTAGAAATATAAACATACCATCCTATTTATAAGGCTCATGTGGTCATGATCAGAAGGGAAGCGGAACAAGACTTTCAGTCGCACTGAAGCGCAAATGCTGAAGGGGTAAATTATCTGCGGAAAATATTGCATTTTAAATTGAAATTTTGGTGGTTCATAATTATGAGGGATTGTAAAAAGATAAAAATGGAAATGTGAATAAAATAAATTAAAATCTGAATGGGAATGTTTTGGTCTATCAAATCGCATAAATTGCGTAACTATTGAAACGAATTTCAAAAAATTATGGTGTTTAGTGATAAAGTTATGTATGAAAACTAAAGATGTATAGTTCAGTTGGGGAAGTTCTGGGATTGCTGTGCCCATCAAAGTTATATCTCAGTAGACGTGGAACTTCACACTGACTGTGACTTCCCTCGAGCAGTTGTAATTGTTTCTTGAAATAATTCTCCAGAATGCTGACAGCCTTAATAGCGATTAGCAGAAGTAGCGCTACTCTAGGCTGAGCGTTAAGGATTGTCCGTATCATGGGTTGATTTTCTCTTCTTTCTCTCTTCCCTCGCTCGTTTTGTTCTCTCTCTCCCTTTGTTTTCTCTTTCTTCCGCATGTCCGTCTTGCAAATTAGTCACATGATTCTTCAGCAGTACATTGTGGATAGGAGGCTGTACTGGTGATTCCCGCTCCTGAGCCGCATGCAAACTTCGGTTTCAGTGTTTACAGCTAAGGGATGAAACACAGACCGACTGCATCGTAAAATGTCTTCTTACACATGAAACTTAAGTCCAGTCCCTCTATTCTGATATCTTAATAGCGATAATAGAGAAACCAGTCTGTGTACTCATTAGTTTCGATAGTAAAAACATCTTGATGCATGCTGAGAAGTGAAAACTGCCATCTTACCTTGCTTCTAAAGAACAACTGAAAAGGAGTGCTGTCGGTATCCATGCGAGAAACTTGTTGATATTAGCATGTATTATCATTAATGCCTGCGCTTTTGGGTTAATTTCCCAGTGCCTACACCTTTTTTGGCGAGTGAATTGTGAACGGGCCATGATTTCAAGGGTTAACCAGAATTATTCGTTTGCGTATGTATAATGCAAGTATTGTTATCATCAGAATGTTTGCTGCTGTGCTGCCAAATTATCCATCAATTAGACCTCGGTAGATGGTGCATTTCTGGTTGGGTGAGTGCACCTATGTCTTGAGAAAATGGTTTTTTGTCCTCTAAAATGATCGCTTTATCACACGGCCGTTGGTATTCTCCGTATTTTCTGATGGGGATAGTAAGGAGGGAGGGAACGGGGGAGGGGAGGAGAGAAGAAAAAAGAAAGAGGGATGGAGG